ACCTACGACCACACCTGCCTCACTAATACCATCTACGACCACACCTGCCTCACTAATACCACCTACGACCACACCTGCCTCACCAATACCACCTACGACCACACCTGCCTCACTAACACCTCCCACGTCCACACCTGCCTCACCAACACCTGCCTCACCAACACCACCTACGTCCACACCTGCCTCACCAACACCACCTACGTCCACACCTGCCTCACCAACACCCGCCACTTCCACACCTGCCTCACCAACACCTCCCACGTCCACACCTGCCTCGCCCACACCTGCCTCACCAACACCACCTACGTCCACACCTGCCTCACCAACACCACCTACGTCCACACCTGCCTCATCCACACCACCAGCGTCCACACCTGCCTCACGTAACCCAAAACGCTTCAGTTCTGCCAGGGGGGGAACTGAACCCGGCAAATTTGGGTTGTGACCAGATTTCCCAATCCACTAGAGTTTGAGGTCCGAGACAGCCAAACTGTACAAGATATACCTGGGTATTCCCTCCTAGCCGCAAATTGGGTAAACCCATTCCTTAACCACGCATTAACCATACTAAACTTCAAAGACCTTGACAAATAATAAGGTTCAACACGGTAATCAAATTCTCACGAAGGGTTGTTTGGCTTAATTTATATTATTTGAGCAAGATATTTAAGCAAGGGACTCAGGGAACTGCTGCTGCTGCTATGGAAGATTATCACAGAAAACGCGCCAGGGTCTTTCCATGGGTAACTATGGCGAAAGTGCAAGGTGTTTGATCTTCTACAAGACGTGTTTATATAGTACAGCCACTAGTACGCACAGCGTTTCGGGCAGGTCCTTAATCTAGCAGATAATTTTAAGTAGGTAATTTCAATCAGAATTGATAAATGATAAAGATACATTACAAGAGAAAAATACGTGGTATGTAATATTCTAATCACTTATTACTGAATATTCACGAAATATTTTCAATTGGGGGGCACAATTTTTGACATTCCTTCATAATATATTACAACTGTAGTTTACAAGATACATATTTTAGTGATTAATAGGGACATTCTTGCCAAACTACTGGAACCAGAATGACCCAGCTCGACACGACCGGATTTTCACATTTCACAATCATCCCCCAGGATGCTGATCGATCCTGTGTGGGGCTGTAACTAGGACTGGGACCTGTGTGTGGCTGTAACTAGGACTGGGACCTGTGTGTGCCTGTAACTAGGACTGGGACCTGTGTGTGGCTGTAACTAGGACTGGGTCCTGTGTGTGGCTGTAACTAGGACTGGGACCTGTGTGTGGCTGTAACTAGGACTGGGACCTGTGTGTGGCTGTAACTAGGACTGGGACCTGTGTGGGGCTGTAACTAGGACTGGGACCTGTGTGTGGCTGTAACTAGGACTGGGACCTGTGTGTGGCTGTAACTAGGACTGGGACCTGTGTGTGGCTGTAACTAGGACTGGGACCTGTGTGTGGCTGTAACTAGGACTGGGACCTGTGTGGGGCTGTAACTAGGACTGGGACCTGTGTGTGGCTGTAACTAGGACTGGGACCTGTGTGGGGCTGTAACTAGGACTGGGACCTGTGTGTGGCTGTAACTAGGACTGGGACCTGTGTGTGGCTGTAACTAGGACTGGGACCTGTGTGGGGCTGTAACTAGGACTGGGACCTGTGTGTGGCTGTAACTAGGACTGGGACCTGTGTGGGGCTGTAATTAGGACTGGGACCTGTGTGTGGCTGTAACTAGGACTGGGACCTGTGTGTGGCTGTAACTAGGACTAGGACCTGTGTGTGGCTGTAACTAGGACTGGGTCCTGTGTGTGGCTGTAACTAGGACTGGGTCCTGTGTGTGGCTGTAACTAGGACTGGGTCCTGTGTGTGGCTGTAACTAGGACTGGGACCTGTGTGGGGCTGTAACTAGGACTGGGACCTGTGTGTGGCTGTAACTAGGACTGGGTCCTGTGTGTGGCTGTAACTAGGACTGGGACCTGTGTGTGGCTGTAACTAGGACTGGGACCTGTGTGTGGCTGTAACTAGGACTGGGACCTGTGTGTGGCTGTAACTAGGACTGGGTCCTGTGTGTGGCTGTAACTAGGACTGGGACCTGTGTGTGGCTGTAACTAGGACTGGGTCCTGTGTGTGGCTGTAACTAGGACTGGGTCCTGTGTGTGGCTGTAACTAGGACTGGGTCCTGTGTGTGGCTGTAACTAGGACTGAATAAGCAACAGGTAAACATTTGTAACAAAATTTTATCTTCGTGAGAATTCATTTAATTCTTTTATATTTTAAAATATAATACGAAACTTAGTAATTCAAATTTTGTATTCCCGTTACAGGACACAGGAAGCTTGTACATACACTTATTCAGGTCGTCCCTAGGCTATATTGAGGTTATCTTGAGGTTATCTTGAGATGATTTCGGGGCTTATTTTTTTAGTGTCCCCCGCGGCCCGGTCCTCGACCAGGTCTCCACCCCCAAGAAGCAGCCCGTGACAGCTGACTAACACCCAGGTACCTATTTTACTGCTAGGTAACAGGGGCATAGGGTGAAAGAAACTCTGCCCATTGTTTCTCGCCGGCGCCTGGGATCGAACCCAGGACTACAGGATCACAAGTCCAGCGTGCTGTCCGCTCGGCCGACCGGCTCCCCAATCTTGCAGGCTAGGCTAGGATGCAACTCACAATACTTGCCTAGCTCTCGGACATATTTACTAGTAGGTGAACAATACATCAGATGAAAGGAAATTTGCCCAATCGTTTCTGTCCGGCCTGGGAATTGAACCCGATCCCTCAAGTTGTGAACCAAGGGTGTAGACTACTGTACTAAAGAACCCACTTGAACCACCACTTGTCGAACCTCACGTGTCAACCAGGTAGGAAAGCCCAGTGATTTTATTAAATATTTCTTAGTTCCTCCAATCTAGAAATATTGGGAATCACTAAAAGCCAACGATTTATTTTCCCCAGGATGCAGCCCACAACAGTTGCCTAACCCCCCAGGTACCTATTTAGCGCTAGGTGAACAGAGGCTTCAGGTGTAAAGAAACATGCTCAACCCTTTCACCCAGGAATGGAAATACTTAGGAACCTGAACATCTTTTCTCAATCTTTGGCGATTTTGTTTACATATATACAAATGTTTATCAGCTCCGAAGCACTAGGCGGCTGATTATATAAATAACAACATTTGATTGGAAAGTTTCGAAGCTCATAAACTGTTTAATAAATGCAAACAGTGCCGCTATGATTGTTGAAAGATGTACAGGTTTCGTAAGTGGTTGGGTAATTGCTTGATGAATACTGACCCCTAGTGTTCTTCCCGTAAATGCTACAGTAGTGTAACCAGGTGACAGTTGAACTGAGACATCAGTGTAAACATTACACTCGCGCCTGGGGTTATAGGGCAGCGGTAAATGTGTCAAAAGTTACTGATCTCAGTCGAGAAAATATTTTCATTACCCTTTTTGGTGAGTGGTGTGGCGATAGTTGGATAATGGAGGGCAGATATATGTTGACGCCTGACAGTTAGGATGTACTTAAAGGCCAGGGACCAGATTCACGAAAGCACTTACGCAAGCACTTACGAACGTGTACATCTTTCCACAATCTTTGACGGCTTTGGTTAGATTTATTAAACAGTTTACAAGCATGAAAACTTGCCATTCAACTGTTGTTATTGTTATAAACAGCCTCCTCGTGCTTCGGAGCTCATTAACTGTTTAATAATTGTAAACAAAGCCGCCAAAGATTGAGAAAAGATGTACAGGTTCGTAAGTGTTTGCGTAAGTGCTTTCGTGAATCTGGCCCCTGATCAGTTTGGTAAGGCTGGATACACGTTTAATCAGCATACAATAAGTTGGTGTATTCACGAAAATCACCTTCATTGTGAGTGCACAAAATAATTCATCTCTGAACAATGGTAGAAACGTCGAGTTTCCACAAGTTTACTGCAAAGTTAGAATAGGTGGGATATATATATAGTTCCTCCTATGTTAATGATTTGTGTGCATCTTGGGGCACCAAGAATCACCCTCGTGGCCTCGAACTCCTCGTTCCAAGTAAAGGTGAGGAAGTTAATTAGGATCAAGGCAAGGTCATCACCGATCTAATTAACATCGTGTACAATAGTCATATTTAACAATCATATTGACAATCATATTTAACACTGACACCATTATTCATATTAGCAAGTATTTTTATTGTTTGCAACTGTCTTTGAGCCTATGGTATAGGCCTATATTAAAGGCTTGCTTCACCTCACGTCTAACACTGACTCCCTCTCTCCCTCTGGGGGGGCCTGACGGCTGAGTGGACAGCGCTCGGGATAGTAGTCCTAAGGTTCCCGGGTCGATTCCCGGCGGAGGCGGAAACAAATGGGCAACGTTTCTTTCACCCTGATGCTCCTGTTCACCTAGCAGTAAATAGGTTCCTGGAAGTTTGACAGCTGCTACGGGCTGCTTCCTGGGGGATGTGTAACAAAAAAAGGAGGCCTGGTCGAGGACTGGGCCGCGGGGACGCTAAGCCCCGAAATCCTCTCGAGATAACCTCAAGATAACCTCAAGATAACCTCTCTTCACACGACTGTAATTTCTTGTGTCTTAGGTTATATTAGCTAGGTTGTTAGTCACCTAATTGTGCTTGCGGGGGTTGAGCTCTGGCTCTTTGGTCCCGCCTCTCAACTGTAAACATGTTGTATATTACTTAATCCGGGTTTGAAGTCGCAACTCCAAGAATACCACTTACACATTTTACCACTGAACCACTATTGTTGTCACTAATTACCTGCATATGTCGTTCACAATATCGCTATATCCCACTACTCCTCCGAGGTGTGTGTGTTGCCTACAGGTTTAAATGCTCCGCCCACTTATAAAAACTTCCTAGCAGGTTAAACCAGTTTTTTAACGATCTTGGATATTCCAGCAGAAGGCGCCGACGTGACTAGTGCCGGGTCTTCCCCTGGAAAAACACCCGTCCTGAACCGTACTCCGAGCTGGCGTACATAAGGAAGAGAAGCTACCACCAAGTCCCACTCCTCCTGAGGTACACCAAGAGAGCGACCTCTCAAGGCATCCGGAACTCCACTTGATCAAGACTTCAAGTCTCCTCCAAGACATTTTAACATGTTTATCAAGGTATGAAACATTAACCTAAAAAAATTAGCTAAAAGATTTTGTATTACTTTTAAGACCACGATAAAAGATATTTGATTTGGTTCCCCTCACTTTTTCATTTACAAATCAATATAGTTTCTGGAATATAGTGAAGATGATATGAAGTTAAGAGCCAAAAAATAGAGTTCTAGAAACTTTATTTTAACCCAGTTGGTGGTTCCTTGTCCATGCTACCTTCCTAGAACCATGATGGACTCAAGCTCTTGGTTCGTTAAGCAGGCTAGCCTCCTAGGACCCACATAAGAGACTCCAGCTCTTGGTTCCCTGACCATGCAACCCTCCTAGCTGGTCCAGTGCTCCCAGGAAGTTATCAAACACTTCGGCATCTTGCTCCTCACACCGAATGCACTGTAAATTTGACGCTATCAACCAGAGTATAAAAAAAGCCGGTGCTTACGTCGTAATATAGACGTTGTAAATTAAAAGCGTCATATAGACGCTCCCTGGGACTAACAATCACCAGCCTCTGATAGGCTGGGAGGGTTGTGTGGGTCCGTACGCTTCTGGCTTGGTAAAACCTCTTGAAATTGCCCGCTTGTCACATCCCCAGAGGGCTTTATTTACCCTCTTTATTTACTACCTGGTAATTATCTTCAGAGCTCTTTATTGCCTACATACTTCAGGTAAAATATATATTTACACCAACTGGTCATCCAAGAAAAATAGTATCTATAGTTACTATGGATGCATGTACAAAATATGGACTCGCCCCCTCCCCAAAAATCGATATATAAAATAGGCCTAAAATGGCAGATATGAGGCCTAGGATCGCCTATTTAGGCTTAGTACAGATTAAGTTTATAATTGTCCACTTTTGTACAAAACGTGAACTGACTTTTTTGTACAACAGTTCATATTTTGTACTCTCCATAGTAGCCATAGGTATTGTGGTTCTGGAGCATATTTGCATTAACCAAAGCACTTGGATTGATCGGTAAAGCAAAGGCCTCACTTCTTGCAGGCCGGCGTTCAGATCCTTGTCCTCATATCCCAACCAGGTGCCGTATAACACCTTTTCCCTGGCATAACGTATGTATACTGGCATAACGCCTTTTGCCCCATAATTACCAATATCCATATACCGAATTGGAGTAAACAAATAACATTGTTATGGTCTACAGGCGGCGTTGTTACTGGTGGCGTTGAGCGTGGTGCTGGCGTCTCCTCACGGCCCTTACAACCCCTATCCATCACAGGTAAACCTTTACAACCCCTATCCATCACAGGTAAACCTTTACAACCCCTATCCACCACATGTAAACCTTTACAACCCCTATCCACCACAGGTAAACCTTTACAACCCCTATCCACCACAGGTAAACCCATACAACCCCTATCCACCACAGGTAAGCCTATACAACCCCTATCCACCACAGGTAAACCCATACAACCCCTATCCACCACATGTAAACCCATACAACCCCTATCCACCACAGGTAAACCCATACAACCCCTATCCAGCACAGGTAAACCCATACAACCCCCTATCCACCACAGGTAAACCCATACAACCCTTATCCACCACAGGTAAACCCATACAACCCCTATCCTCCACAGGTAAACCCATACAACCCATATCCACCACAGGTAAACCCAGACAACCCCTATCCACCACAGGTAAACCCATACAACCCCTATCCACCACAGGTAAATCCATACAAATATCCTATCACTTTTACGCTATTGAACCCAACGTAAAATTTCTGGCCGTTTATATAAATTATAACCACTTTAAAACTGACGCTTTCTGGAACTTGTTAAAAAAGTGTCATGAAACCTGAAAATCCAATATAACAAAAATTGTTGCTATGAATTTCTAAAAAAATAAAAAACGTAGGAGTAATTTTTAGCGTTCTTGAGTAAGAAGAACTCACCTCCTGCCTTCCCCAACAGCCCTACGCATTCAAGTACGGCGTCCAGGACAGCTACAGCGGTCAGAACCATGGCAGGAAGGAGTACTCCGACGGCCACGTCGTCAAGGGCACCTACAGTGTGGACTTGCCTGGCGGTACACGGCAAAGGGTAAGTCCGAACTTCGGACTTGTGTGCTCTCGCTCTCGCTCCCCCTCCCTCTCCCCCCTCCCTCTCTCCCTCCCTCTCTCTCTCCCTCCCTCCCTCCCTCCCTCCCTCCCTCCCTCCCTCCCTCCCTCCCTCCCTCCCTCTCTCTCTCTCGCCGAAAGTCTAGTTCTAATTTCTCTATCTCGTTTAATCAATTTCTTATCCTCAGATAACACAAGATGCAGTTAAACAATTATCTTGAAATATTCCAACACTTCACAATGTACATTGCACATCTCCTGTAGCACAATAGTCTACGTCTTTGCCTCACAATCGATGGACTAGCGTTCAATCCAGAGCAGGACGGTAACGCTTGGGAACGTTTCCTTTCAACTAAAGCCTCTGTTCACCTAGCAGTTAAATAGGTACCCACGAGTTAGGAAACTGTTGTGGGTTGCATCCTGGGGAAGTAGTTAGCCTAGGGGGAACCTAGAGCCCCTCCCCCCCTAAGCTAATTAGACGCTTGGTTCCGATGTGAAGTAGAATGATTTCCGGTTCTTAATATTCTTAAGGAAATGTGAATAATTGAAACTGCAGCAGGCTTATTGACCCATACGAGGCAGCTCCTAATCTGTATCAGGCCAAACTTGCTCATATATGTGTCTAACCTACACTTGAAACAATCCAATGACCCCCTTGTCTATTATGTTACCCGGCAATTATGTTCCATAAATCCACAACCTTGTTACCAAACCTGTATTTACCCAGGTCTTTCCTGAATCTAAACTTAATTTAGATTCAGTTTATATCCATTGTTTCGTGCTCTGTTTTGTGTTTATATATTTAACACATTACATAAATCTTACTAACTTTTAGAATGTAAAACAAATACAGGACTTGTCGGTAGAGAGAGTCCTCACTCCTCGCAGGTACGCTCATGGTCCTCATATTTTAGCCCCTTGTCCTCATATCCCAGCTCCTTGTCCTCATATCCCAGCTCATCCTCATATCCCAGCTCATTGTCCTCATGTCCCAGCTCCTTGTCCTCATGTCCCAGCTCCTTGTCCTCATATCCCAGCTCATTGTCCTCATGTCCCAGCTCCTTGTCCTCATGTCCCAGTTCCTTGTCCTCATGTCCCAGCTCCTTGTCCTCATGTCCCAGCTCCTTGTCCTCATGTCCCAGCTCCTTGTCCTCATGTCCTAGCTCCTTGTCCTCATATCCCAGTCGGTCTTCATATCCCAGCTCGTAGTCTGTATCATATCCCAACCAAGAGGATATAGTCACTGTCTTAGCGCTTCTTGTAATTACCTTACATCTCGCGTGCTCGTTAAGTGGCCCCGAGCTCCGTGAGACAACGAGACGTCAGAAACTAACAGTTACTAACAGTTACAGTTACTAACTACCTCCTCCTGTTGCTACTAACCTGCTCCTCCTTCAGGTGGACTATCAGGCAGACAAGTACAACGGCTACCAGGCGAGGGTCTCCTACACCGGCGTGGGCTACTGAACCTCTACTGAACCTCCGCTGAACAATGGCTGAACCTCTGCTGAACAACGTTCGAACCTCTATTGAAAGATTGTCAACAACTAGTGAACGACTGCCAGCGGCTGCTGCACGACTGCCAGCGGCTGCTGCACGACTGACAGCGGCTGCTGCACGACTGCCAGTGGCTGCTGCACGACTGCCAGTGGCTGCTGCACGACTGCCAGCGGCTGCTGCACGACTGCCAGCGGCTGCTGCACGACTGCCAGCGGCTGCTGCACGACTCCTGAACGACCACACTCAACTCTGAGACATTCCTACTTGAATAAGGTCCACAACTTTCTCAAATAAACGTCCACACTTCGCTGTAGATTTTTTTTAATTCAAAAAAATATTTTTTGTCATAAAATATTGACTTTACAGTTTTTCAGAACATTATTTAAATAGGAAAAATGTATAATAAAAGATTACTCTGTAATCGTTATGGTTTTATACTGTGCTAGAAGGGGGGATACTCGGATCTGTCTGTATGTCTCTCCCCCTGGTCGACGACCGGGCCGCGGGGACGCTAAGCCCCGGAATCACCTCAAGGTAATCCTCTCCACATTCTCACCTACAGTTAACTATTAACTCACCTATTAACTAAGAAAACTTCATAGTCGGTTCATCAACACACAATTCACTAAGAATAAGGGAAAACCTTATCAAAGGGTTTTGTTTGCATGAAGGGTATTTTTTTTCTTAATTTTGGCACGATTGGTGCATACAGTTTTATTACAGTTTAATAATAATAAAAATAATAATAATAATAATTCAGAGTCGAGTTACATGGTATTGCAAAATTTTTGTGGTGGGGGTCACTTTGGTACAGTGTCACTCGGTAATTTGTTGTTTAAGCCAATCTCGGCTTGCCCATGTTAGGCACGAACCCAACAGCAATTACTGGAATTTTTTTTTTTATAAGGCTAGCCCTAAGTGTCTGGCCTCCAACCTCGAACAGACAGGCAGACAGACAGACATTTCCATTTATATAGATATAGATAATATGAACTTTCCACTGGTTTACTGAACGTTCAAACTCTTCTACTGAATGTTCACACACTTGTACTGAACGTACACACACTTGTACTGAACGTTCACACACTTGTACTGAACGTTCACACACTTGTACTGAACGTTCACACACTTGTACTGAACGTTCACACACTTGTACTGAACGTTCACACACTTGTACTGAACGTTCACACACTTGTACTGAACGTTCACATACTTGTACTGAACGTTCACACACTTGTACTGAACGTTCACATACTTGTACTGAACGTTCACACACTTGTACTGAACGTTCACACACTTGTACTGAACGTTCACATACTTGTACTGAACGTTCACACGCTTGTACTGAACGTTCACATACTTGTACTGAATGTTCACACACTTGTACTGAACGTTCACACACTTGTACTGAACGTTCACACACTTGTACTGAACGTTCACACACTTGTACTGAACGTTCACACACTTGTACTGAACGTTCACATACTTGTACTGAACGTTCACACACTTGTACTGAACGTTCACACACTTGTACTGAACGTTCACATACTTGTACTGAACGTTCACACACTTGTACTGAACGTTCAATTACTTCTCCTGAGTAAAAATAAATCTAGTTTACTGAACGTCAGTGCATGTCTACTGAGGCGCCCAATAGTTCCTCGTGATAAACAATCAAAGATAACATTATCTCCAGAAGGTACTAATACTGCTCCTTATCACAATAAACAATTATCAATTCATTTGCATTTTTTTAAACAATCTTTTCATAAAAGCAAACAAGTGCTATATTTTTTGTCAATATCAACCCGTCTTGAGGTTATCTTGAGATGATTTCGGGGCTTAGCGTCCCCGCGGCCCGGTCCTCGACCAGGCCTCCTTTTTGTTACACACCCCCAGGAAGCAGCCCGGAGCAGCTGTCTAACTCCCAGGTACCTATTTACTGCCAGGTGAACAGAACATCAGGGTGAAAGAAACGTTAGGATATATTACCTTAGGTTAGGCTGTGTTAGGCAGGTTTTAAAATCCTGGGGCAAACCATCATGTGAAAGATCTGTCTATACCCGAAATAAATTAATTCACCCATGTATTATTTTTTGTTTACAAATCAAATTATCCAGATGAGAGCCCATATGTTAGACTGAGCTCACACTTCCTACTCATCATGCACTCGCTAAACACTACACACTCCGTCACCACACACTCTCACCACCACACACTCACTAAACACTCACCACACACACTCACAACCACCACACACTCACCAAAAACCATAAGCACCTAACTGTACCTAGGAATTAACATCTATCTCCAAAAATGTGTAAACACTCATGTCTGTGAGCCGTGATGGCCGCTGTTGACGGCTTGGCTCGTCCTCTTACGTTGCACTTTTTACGTACTCGACCAGTCCGTTAAAAAATTGACGGACTGGTAAATATATAGATTATATATAATACCGAATGCCTCCATGTTGGAAGCCAGACGTTCGGGGCTAGCTTCAACTAACTTTTCAAGATGACACATGGGTGGTATGTAACAGTCATAGAATGGTCGAGGTCAACCACATTGCCTCTCTAAGAAATATCGTATTACTACACTACTGTATAACAAAAATATTACAACAAAGGAAATCGAACTGTATATTTATATTTAATAAATGTTTTGTTTCCTGCAATAATATACACATGAAGATAATAGTCATCAATAAAGTTGAATAAACACAGTGTATTGAAAATCATAACTGAACACACTGCATAATATTTTCATCTTCAAAACGTAACATTTCATTATAACAAAATGAATATGTTATAATGAATATTTCATTATAACAAAATGAATATGTTATAATGAATATTTCATTATAACAAAATGAATAACAAAATACAGTTCTACAGTACTGAGTTGATCCATTATATTGTTACTATACAATATTGTAGAAGAAAAAATTACGAGGCAAATTGAAATATAATTATTCAAACAATTAATATTTCACAGGTTTAAATAATATAACTAAATTTTGATCTAAAACAATTTATATAATACGTACAGTATATATATTTAAATATATATACAGACTAGAGTAAAGGGAAGTATAGATCTATGTTTATAGTATTTAGAAGCTCAGTGATAATAAAGCTGGAACAATCAGCTTGCGACCCTCGTACCTTGACTAAAAAGCTTTGAACATTGTAGTTTCAGAATTAATGATTAATTTGCATCAAATGTATTAGTTTGGTGCACTTTAATTATTAATTTCTTGTTGCCAATGTTACAGTACTTATGAATGGTACCATACTGTAATGTATAACCGATTTGCAGCTTACAGTCTAGGTACTTAAACACACACAACTGTAGTCACTTAACACTTGTGCTGTACTACACAATATATCTTCTAAAAGTTAAAATAAACGTGGAAATAATAAAAAAAATTGAAATAAAAATGTATACTTGCAATGTACAGAAAGTTGAAGGTTTGTAAAGAACCTGGAGTTAACCCGGATTTATTATATAAAACCTGGCCGGGTTGGGGTTTAAGTAAAACCACCGTTCTTTTTTAACCAATCATGGTGGGTGGGTGTGTGTGTGTGTGTGTGTGTGTGTGTGTGTGTGTGTGTGTGTGTGTGTGTGTGTGTGTGTGTGTGTGTGTGTGTGTACTCACCTATTTGTGCTTGCGGGGGTTGAGCTTTGGCTCTTTGGTCCCGCCTCTGAACTGTCAATCAACTGGTGTACAGATTCCTGAGCCTACTCTGTGTGTGTGTGTGTGTGTGTGTGTGTGTGTGTGTGTGTGTGTGTGTGTGTGTGTGTGTGTGTGTGTGTGTGTGTGTGTGCTGACAGCCACTGGTTCACTGTCACAACATTGCCCAAAAGAACATTCAAATATGAAAAATAATGTGTGTGAACTAGGCTACTACAGGCGGCAGGTCCCAGATAATGTACTGTCAGAACAAATATTCACACGCCACAATTTTCAACGGTTTCATGACTGAATTCTGTTTTTTTTCCAAATGGATCCCATCCAATATTCATTCTGAATTTGTATTCATATTGAATTTCATCATTCAGTATCAAATTTATTTAGATATAAAACTGACATTTCAGAGCCGCATGAGCCGTAATTATAAAACTCGGTATTTCGTAAAATATGCAGTTAGTAATTTCAAACATTAATATTTACTATCGCAGTATGAGAAAGTGTACGAATTCCAACGCTAAAAAACGAAGTGTTATAACAATAAAAAAAATCAATCTAATTTAGTACAGCGCAACAAAAGCAAAAGAAAATGGAGAACTAATCTCTCAATTTTAATGGGTAACTAATTTATTTAAAATTCATAACGGCACGACACGTTTAGAGATCTTGTGTGTATTTAGTGGTGGCGAACAATGTTGTGACCCTACCATAGTGTAGTTCACCTGTATTTTACTTGTAGTCAGTATCGAGAGTTATTTTACTCCAAAAGCCCAGCCGGAAGCCAGGCTACCTTGATTTAACTTGATCTAAATGACAGTTGCTTGAGGTTATCTTGAGATGATTTCGGGGCTTTTTAGTGTCCCCGCGGCCCGGTCCTCGACCAGGCCTCCACCCCCAGGAAGCAGCCCGTGACAGCTGACTAACACCCAGGTACCTATTTTACTGCTAGGTAACAGGGGCATAGGGTGAAAGAAACTCTGCCCATTGTTTCCCGCCGGCGCCTGGGATCGACCCCAGGACCACAAGTCCCGCGTGCTGTCCGCTCAGCCGACCGGCTCCTTTTCCGGAGTTGCTCGCAGTTGCTCGCCAGCCCACATGACCATCACCAACAACCCGGCTGATCCGTACTTCCTGCACGAACTCATCCAGTTTTTTTGTTTTTAATATTTACTTTTGTATTACGACAATATTTTTATATATATACCTCCCATATATATATATATATATATATATATATATATATATATATATATATATATATATATATATATATATATATATATACTTGGTGGGAGGAGGCTGAAGGTCCGTGAGCCTTCTCTCATGCTCATAGCCAACCCATCCTCCGAATTGACAGCACGTTATAATACTAAGTGTAATAAGTACATTTTCTGACTGTCATACATAGTACATAATTGCACTTATGGGACTGTTACATTTACCTCCCAATTTAATTCTCCTCGTTTTATGTTAAGACACTCAGAATTTTAGGATGAACTTTTAAAGTTGAGTTCTCAATACACAAGTTTTAAATATCAAGAATTTCTTTTTCACTTTCATTAAACAATTGAGATTTTATACAAAATTTGAAAATATCCTGAGTTACTTTACAATTT